TGGGTTAAATTACAACATTTTAACAGTTAGAGGCATTATGCTCATTTTCAGATCATATAGGTATTTTAGGCCTCTACTGTGACATGTCTCCATGCTCTAATGTTCAAAAAGCTCTTTATTTCTCTCCTGCTGCCTGTGCTGCAGCACCTCTTTTCACCCTCTGTCTGAAACCAGAGCCCAGTTTGCTCTGATTGGTTAGCTGACCTGCTCTGTTGTGATTGGTCTACCGCTTAGAGATGTCCCTCCCCTTAGTCTATCATGTACAATGTGTTTGGGAGCTACCCCATAGAAGTGCGAGTGTTACATACAGTAGTGATTGCGGTTCAGGCAGGGAATTTTGAATTTGAACCTTTGCAGACCAGTTGCATGCATCAAAAACATATCACACTAAAGAAAGGGATTACCCCAAAAGCACAATAGGGCCTGTTTTAAGACACAATTGTGATCATGATTATAAAACACATTTCAATATTCTTAAGGGTTAATTTTTTCCACTGGGGGTTTCATTACAAGCTCATCAAGCTGGATTTGGGGCTGATTTTGGCAGTTAAATTAGTACCTTGAACAATAAGAATAAAACGTAGAAAGAACTACCAACATGTTACCCAGCATAACCCTTTCAATACGTAAATAGAGTTTATTCAATTTTCCACACTGACTTTCTTTGAATCATCGCTCCACAAAACATAACCCTCAGGTGTTGTATTCTGTGAATAAGAACACTCAATTATGAATACTTCGTTTACTTCGACATGTTCCCTGTTTTCATTTTCCACCTTCTGGCTACTCATTGTTTCTCCCTCTCACCCTCCAATTGTTTTCCACGCCTTCAGCTTTCAGGGACATCTGCCTTTGCAGCCCCAGCCTGGGCATGTTTTTATTTCCTTTATTGTTGCATTTGTAATCCTAAGGGTGTGCTTAGTCATTATATCAAAATTAAAACAATATTTAATACTCTTAATATTCTTAATAAGCATGTGGCTGTCTTGACTCCAGCACATATTCAGAAATCCATTATTTATTGACACACTGCAGTTTCTGAGCTTTATTGATTTAAAAAGCTAATGTTTCAAATGCCTCAGAAACAGAGCTGCCCACACCCACTGTGTTGGTTCATCCTCTGCCCTGATTCGATCTGTGCTTTCTGCTAAGCTGTGTGTGAGCAATGCTTTCTGCAAGCGTTGTGCTTTAGTGTAGGTGGTGTTGTTGAAGTTTAAATCTGGGTTTTTATTTGTGTCTGAACTTTACAAACAACATACATTATTGAACACGATGTCCAGTCACAGTTTGCAGGAGATCTTTAGGCATAACAAGAGGAGCAACAGGAGCAGTGTTTTCCATTTTGGCAGTGTTTGCGTTAATAAATTAAACTGAATCTTGGACTGACATAGAATCTAATGAGGAACGTCTCACATTACCCCAAACCCCTGACAGGTTGTAGGGTTTAGCACTTTGTACCTGTCACACTGCTATACTAAAGCAATTACATGCTGTATTAGGCACTGTGCAGAGTCAAAAGTGTAATTCTACTTTGAAAATGAATCTCTTAATAGCAGACACCTTTCCCTGTGAGTATGCATTTCAACCACTGTTAGTCTTGTATAAAGGATATACCATCTCATTGATTGATTTCCAAATGTGATTATAAAAGTACCCTGACTTCACCCTTTTCTCTACTGAAGAGGCCCTGTTTGCCTTTGGGTGTTTTCCCTTCCCCTCCTGTAGTGTGTTACATAGGTTTTTGTGCATGTAAATGGTCTGCAAAGGCTTAAATCCCAAAGGGAGTTTCTCTTGCATCCACTCCCGCCTGCCTGAAACGCCTTAATTTAACTCCTTTGTTTTCTCCTAGAACATAGTGACATCACTATGTAACTTATGTTGGCTAGCCCTCCAACACATTGTAGATGACAAGTTTAGGGGTGGGACATTTTTTAGTTGTTGACCAATCACAACAGAGCCGGCCAAAGAGGCCCTATTGTGCCTTTTGGGGTTATCCCTTTCCTTAGTGTGTTGCATATGTTTTGATGCATGTGAATGGTTTACAAAGGTTAAAATTCCCTGCCTGAAACGCAACCATTATGTAACACTTGCACTTCTATGGGGTAGCTCCCAAACACATTGTACATGATAGACTAAGAGACGGAACATTTCCGACACATCTCTAAGCTGTTGAATCACAACAGAAACGGCCAGCTAACCAATCAGAGCAGACTGGGCTCTGGTTTCAGGCAGAGGGTGAAAAGAGGTGCTGCAGCACAGGCAGTATGAGAACAATAAAGACCTTTTTGAACATTAAAGCATGGAGTCATGTCCCAGTAGAAACACAATATACAATTATGAACCTGAGCATAATAGGCCCTCTTTAGAGCTATTAGTTACGATTTTCAAAAAGGGCAGTAACACATTAGGAAAATTGCTATGCCCAAAGCAAGATGATTCCTTTGGGCATAATTAATAAGTGTACGTGTTTAGATGCTGCTAATGTATTGATCGCTATACGTTTGAATTGTCCCCCCGTGAGCTCTCGGAGAGGGTGAACTCTTTTTCTCTAGTATTTTAATACTCTGTGAAGGAAAGCTGCTTATGCAAACAGGCTCCCTTGGTACACCAGATTTATGCAAAAATAGTGTAGGAAAAGGGAGAATATTTTTGTTTATGTTGGTCATTCCTCACCAGCTGCTACCGCACGCAGCATGATGTTTGCTTGTCTTGTGCAAGCTGCTGTTAAAATGGAGCAAACAGGAGAGAACAAAATGGAAATAAGTTGAGATTCGTGATTCTTTAATAAACATAAAAAGGTCATTTGTTCACGGCGCAATCATTGCTGGATTTGTTTTCACCTTTATGTACAGACAATTCATATTTAAATCATGTGTTCTGCTTTCCCTCCACCTAAAATCACGCTTAATTAGCAACGATTTATCTCAATTCTCTCATCAAGATATTGTGATTAAGGTGTTGTTGACTTAATTACCTTCATTCCATTTCCTCCTCAGCGGCATTGGTAAATTAAGATAACTGGACTGGCTGATTAGCCCCACCTCCTACTGCTAATTAGGATTAGTGTGCACAGCCGATATATCATTGATGGTGGTGATAATTATAATGGCTGCGTTGATGGAAATTAGGCCGAGTGAGTGAGACAGTCTAAGGAACAAGCAGTACCAGGTTTAATGGCAAATTAATGTATGTACACTTGAGATGGGTTGAACTCACAACTTGATTGAAAGCAAACATTTTTAACCTATTGAGCAAAACATAATATTGACTATTATTCTCTTGTGTGAGAATATACTTGCATTGAATTAAAAGGCCAGAACAAATTGAGACTCCAATAATCAATAGAACCAGCCCGTTTGAAGCCAGACCATTCGGTAATGTTTGTCCGCCGGAGCTTTTTCCTTACCTTTCTGTTTGCTCTCGGTAAGGATGACCTTCAGAAACTTGCCAATGTTTTTCTGCCAGGTAACTTCTGAAAGGCTGCTCTAATGGCCAGGTATGACTTGTTTACTTGTGGATAAAAAAGAGAAAATACGTAATAATACCATAAAAAGAGGCCAAAAGCAACAGTGTGTTAGTTCATCCCGCAGTACTTCTCTCTGCAACGATTAGCTCAGAATCCATTGTTTACATTTTTTTGTAATGTCTTTTTAAAAGGTAAAACTAATTTTAAAAAAAAATTGGGAATTGACTCTAAATAACAATCACCATGTTTATTGTGATGAAGGAACAAGTGATGCTCATTAATGTGTTTTTTTTCTCCAATAATGGAGATCTATGACACAGAGGAATAAGCTACATCAGGCTTTGGCTACATGGAAAATTAGTAGGATTAAGAGAATGGATGCACTCCCCAGACAACTAGATGCGTTTTAATGTCGCACAGATTAAAGAAGTGATGTGAATTTATTATGAAAAAAAACAACAGAACTACTCAGAAAACCTTCTTAGTAAAACGTGACCACATAAACTGATAAACAAGGCCATTTCAAATGTAAAACTAATATAGCAGATAAAGTCATGTCGCTCAGGTTCTTGCCTCAAAAAGAAAATCATGGCTGTTTCATAATCTATATTTAATAAAGAAGGACTGTACCTGACGTTAATAGACTGTAATATATTATATTTTTATTTATATAATACCTATATTTATTTATATATTGAATTTTTTTTAATGTAGCATGCTGTTTCAAATGATAAACGTCTAATTCAGAAGCGAAACTCCTAAAGCATCAATGTATTGCACATATTGCCAACCAATCATTTGGGCCCTCACCCAGTTACAATTAATATTTTAAGCTCAAGGACAGAATTGTCTCGGTGGCTTAGGCCTGCCATTAACGCACAGTTAAAGCCCTGCCTGTGTTTCCACAATAGAACCGCCAGCTAATTTTCACAGCTCCACTTTAGCAATAATTGATATTCATGATGTGTGGTCTCCATGCTGCCAATTAACTTCAGTGTGTGTGTGTGTGTGTGTGTGTGTGTGTGTGTGTGTGTGTGTGTGTGTGTGTGTGTGTGTGTGTGTGTGTGTGTGTGTGTGTGTGTGTGTGTGTGTGTGTGTTGTGTGTGTGTGTGTGTGTGTGTGTGTGTGTGTGTGTGTGTGTGTGTGTGTGTGTGTGTGTGTGTGTGTGTGTGTGTGTGTGGTGTGTGTGTGTGTGTGTGTGTGTGTGTGTGTGTGTGTGTGTGTGTGTGTGTGTGTGTGTGTGTGTGTGTGTGTGTGTGTGTGTGTGTGTGTGTGTGTGTGTGTGTGTGTGTGTGTGTGTGTGTGTGGCATATAAGGCATATAAGATGTGATACACTGTACAACAAATCAGCATGTCATTTATTTCTAAAGAAAATGCTCGTGATTAAAAAGTGCATTCAGTTAAGCTCAGCAATTTTGGAAGATGGAATTTGTTCCTTTTTTTTAATTCTTCTGGTGCCTTTTCCAGAATATTAAGTAAACATTCAAACATACAGCTCCACGTTTTCATTATTATTTTTCTGTTTCTCCACAGGAGCAGCTGACAAGAGGAGCATACTGCTCGGCGGCTTACAGGTAGGTCAATAAACACTTTCACAAACCATTACCCTGATCACATCATCACTTAATTTTACTAACCGCAACAACATAAATATAATTTGAGCTGAAATCTTGTCAACCACCCTGCGGGACGAAAACAACTGGAGTGAATAGAAACACACATGGTGATTTTTGGCGACACTATAAGCGCTGCAGTTGACTTCCTGTGGTGTTTGAAATGACTGTGACCCCTGTTTTTGGAGATGATATCCTCTGCATGGGGAACAACAGAGGCAGGCAGGCAGCAGCATGCAGCTCCGTTTACCCTGATGTCTTTCTAAACATTCTTCAATACTAAAATTACCTTAATGGTTTTAGTGCACAGCCTTATTGTTATTGACCTGGTAAATTAAGGAGTAGAATAGTTTAACCCAGGGGTGCCCAACCTTTTTTGAACCGAGAGCTACTTTTAAAGTTGCCAGTCTGCCGAGATCTACCAGTCCAAATAGAGGCGTAGCCATTACTGACAGCCTACTACCAGGTAAATACACACTTCTACTTGTATAAAACTGTACAAATACAAGTATTTAACCGAAGTTACACAACAGTGTTGTTGATACAGAGTTGGAGTTTATTCACACGTCACATACTACAGTGGGTAATTGTTACGTCCCGACTAGGGGAATAGGAAAGCAACATACACCAGATTGGAATTGGTAATATTTATAAATGGTTTTATTATACCAGGGTGAAACAAAATGGCAGGCAAGCAGCCTGAAACAAACCAAAGGGCCAAAAGGGCGCCGACTTAACTAATGAACAAACAAAGGAAGACTCTAACAAAAAGGAGCCTGTGTACATACAAAGAAATAGATAATAACAAACTAAATAGAAACTAAAACCCTCACTGTCAAAGTGGTACAATCTAAAGAAAGGAAGCTGTAAGAAAACACAGCTAAGGTAAAGGACAACAGTCAAACAATACTACACTAATCTAAGCACATCTAATCACCACAATCCTGACAAACACAGACCACACAAGTTAACCACTGTTAACAGCTTTGCACACAAACTAGCAACTAGCGAGAGGCGTCTGTTCACTCAACAGAGCCTCTCGAGTGATGATTGTCCCCAGGCTTTGTAGTCATCTTCAGCAGGTGTGCGCCGGCTGTGCGCTGCGATTGGAGTGCGTCGGGCCCGGCGTGCTCCAATCACAAACTTCAGGGGGCGGACCAGGAGATGGCAGCCAATGACGTCAGGGCAACCACACAGCTCATTTACATATAACACAGCTTAACACAATTAAGACGACCCGGAAGGCAGCAGCCGTAACAGTAATGTTTTCAAGAAACATTGAACAGTGCTGCCACATATGACACAGGGAAAAAATAAAAGACTCTGAACCCTATCTTTGCCATTATATACAAATAGTGTTGCTACAAAAGTATAAATTAGGCTTACTAATAAGACAACTCAGATCTACAGCTACACAGGAATCTGCTGCCAAAGTGCAATAAAAAAGACAAAATTAATAGAATCAAACCCTTTTTTTGTTGCATTTTAGTAGAGTATAAAAATAAATGCCTTTTTTAAAATAGGATGCAAGCAACACAAGTTTCTTAACCTGAATTGATAATAGACTATTGTAGTGCTGAGAGACGGGAGTCGGAGGCGGGGTATCGAAGGTACAAGCTAGACTTTTATTTAGCATCTGAAAACACATGTAAATAACTTCATGCCCGGGAAGCGAAGACTGGCGGAAACAGGAAGTCCGGTTCACTAAAATGTCCGTGCAGAACAATACCCCAACCCAAAGATCCGTGGGTGAATAATGTCAATCACCACACAAGCCCCCCCAGTATTCACCCATAGTCAAAATCCTCGTGCCTGGGAGGAAGTACCACCCGACCCCGGCGCGTACGGACCACAGGGGCCATGGAGGGCGGGGCCGCAGGCGAGGGTAGGGGCACCAACGAGGGCGAGGGCATCCCCACAGGGGGCGGGGGGCGGGCCATGGGAGGGCGGCCCCGACGTGGGGGCAGAGCCAACTCCAACGGCCTGGAAACGTCCATGTGAGCAGGTTTAAACCGATCAACGGACACAGTCTCAGGCCTGCCACCAATGTCCACCACCAGGCTCTTGTCCCCGTGACGTATGACCCTGAACGGACCGTCGTAAGGGGGCCGCAGGGGACTGCGGTGGGCATCGTGGCAAATAAAAACGAAATCCGCCGACCGTAATCCGGGGGACACCGGGAAAGCTGGGTTGCTATGCTGCAACGTGGGGACGGGTGCGAATGTCCCGGCGGTCTCCAGCAGGGAGGAGTGCTGCCCGGCCGCAGACCAGGGCACAGTGGCGGTGGGAATGAATTCCCCAGGGACCCGTAGCGTCTGGCCATAGACGAGCTCCGCCGACGAGGACTGCAGGTCTTCTTTGGGGGCACACCTGAGGCTGAGCATAACCCACGGGAGCTTATCCACCCAGTTGCCTTCGGTCAAACCGGCACGCAGTGACGCCTTCATGGACCGGTGAAACTGCTCACACAATCCGTTAGCCTGGGGGTGATATGCGGTGGTGCGGTGCAGTTTGACCCCCAAACCCACAGCAACAGCGTTCCACAGGTCCGAGGTGAACTGAAAACCGCGGTCAGAGGAGAGGTCAGACGGGGTCCCAAAGTGCGCCACCCACGTGCCGATAAAAGCGCGGGCGACATCGGAAGCTGACGTCGAGGCGAGGGGAACGTCCTCGGGCCAGCAGGTCGTCCTGTCCACCATCGTAAACAGGTAGGTGAAACCGTGAGGGGGGAAGCGGACCCATGAGGTCGACATTGACATGGTCAAACCTCCTCTCAGGAACTGCAAAAAGTTTAAAAGGGGCCCTAGTATGGCGGTGGACTTTGGCCCGTTGACAGGCCACGCACAAGTCCACCCAGGACCTCACGTCCTTCTTAAGCCCCTGCCACACGAACTTCTGCAACAACAACTTCACGGACGGCTTCCTACCGGGGTGGGAAAGATTGTGAACCGCCTCAAAAACGGGGCGGCGCCAGTCCGCAGGGACCAGCGGTCGAGGCTGGCCCGTGGAGACGTCACACCACAGCTTTGAGCCAGAGTCACCGACCGTGACCTCCTCCAGGCGTAATCCCGTGACCGAGGCCTTGAGGGTCTGGACCCCGTGGTCAGAGGCCTGGTCAGCGCCCATGCGGAGGTAATCGAGGCCCAGCTGCACAGCTCCGATGACCGCTCTGGAGAGGCAGTCCGCGACCACGTTAGCCATGCCAGCAATGTGTCGTATGTCCGTGGTGTACACGGAGATGTACGAAAGCTGGCGTTGCTGTCAGGCGGACCACGGCTGGGCCACCTTGGACGTGCAGAAGGTCAGTGGCTTGTGATCCACGAATGCCGCAAACTCCCAGCCTTCCAGCAGGAAACGGAAGTGGCGAACTGCCAAATAGAGACCAAGGAGTTCTCTGTCGAAAGCGCTGTACTTGCGCTCCCTGGGAGTCAACTGGCGGCTGAAAAAGGCGAGCGGTTGCCAGGCGCCGTCGACCCATTGTTCATGCACCGCGCCCACTGCGTAGTCAGACGCGTCGGTGGTGATAGCGATGGGGGGCCCTGTGTGACGGGTGAGCCAACATGGCGGCTTCGCTCAGGGCGACTTTGGTGGCGTTGAAAGCGACCTCTCTTTCAGCCGTCCAGTCTATGGCCTGGCCGGGGGACTTGTCCTTGAGGGCCTCGTACAGCGGGCGCATGGTGTGGGCCGCCCGGCGGATGAACCGGTGATAAAACGTCACCATCCCGAGGAACTCTTGGAGCGCCCGAGCTGTAGGCGGTCGTGGAAAGGCAGACACGGCCTCCACTTTCGACGGGAGGGGGGCGGCCCCATCCTTGCTGATGAGGTGCCCGAGGAAATGGATGGAGGACAACCAGAACTGATACTTCGCCGGGTTGATAATCAGGCCGTGTTGGTTGAGCCTCGCGAAAAGGACCCGGAGATGTGCCTGGTGCTCTTCGGAGGAGGAGCTGGCGACCAGGATGTCGTCTAAATAGACGAAGATGAATGGCATGTCTCTGAGCGCTGAATCCATCAGCCGCTGAAAGGACTGAGCTGCGTTCTTAAGTCCAAACGGCATACGCAGGAACTCGAAAAGCCCAAACGGCGTAATTACCGCAGGGACGTCCGAAGGGTGCACCGGCACCTGGTGGTAGCCCTGCACCAGATCCACCTTGGAGAAAACCAGCTTGCCCGCCAGGTGTGCAAAGAAGTCCTGGATGTGAGGGACCGGGTAGCGGTCTGGCGTCGTTAAAGCGGCGGTAGTCACCACACGGTCGCCAGCCCCCGGCTGATTTAGGGACCATGTGAAGCGGCGAAGCCCAAGGGCTGTCTGAGCGGCGGATGATGCCCAGACGCTCCATGTTGACGAACTCCGACTTGGCGACAGCCAGCATGTCAGGGTTGAGCCGCCGGGCCCTAGCGTAGACAGGGGGGCCTTCAGTGTCAATGTGGTGCTCTACCCCGTGTTTGGTAGTGGCAGCGGAAAAGGTGGGCTGCGTCAAGTCGGGAAACTCACTGAGAAGGTGCTGGAACTTGTCGCCCTGTGAGAGTGAGCTGGAGAGCCCGCTGAATGAGGCCTCGCCGCTGGTACACGTGAATGAGGCAAACATCAGCACGTCCACCAGGCGGTTGTTCTTGACGTCCACCAGCAGTCCGTGAGCGCACAGGAAGTCTGCGTCGAGGAGGGCAAAGGAGATGTCAGCCGTGACGAAATACCACTTAAACCGCTGACCCTCGAAGCACAGGCAGGGCCGCCTTAATGCACGGGCTGACCTGAGCTGAAGCCCAGGGGCCTACGGAGATCAGGGGCCTACGGAGATCAGGGCCCTATCATGAGCCAATAAAAAAGTTTTAAAAAAAAAAGTAAATAAAAAAAAAAAAGTTTTTTTTTATTTCAAAACATTTAAATAAACAAAGTCTTGGCTTTCAGAATATGACACTTTTATTTCCAAAATCACACGAGAAATACATTTTTGAAGCTT